TCATGCTGTGTAGTTCAAGCTGGCCTTGAACTCCCTGTGTAGCCCAGGCTGGCTTCAAACTCATAATGGTTATCTTCTGCCTCAGCTTTCAAATTCTGGGATTCCAGGTGTTTCGCCATGCGCAGCTACGATATCATACTGTGAGGGCTGATGTGACGCCACAGGTGGAATGCACTCCTGATGTCAAGTGACAAAGTCAAGCTATAGGCACATCACGAAACAAAAGAATTTTATGTCTAGACCTGCGTCACAGCCCCAGGATATCTTATATGTATGCAAATACTCCAGAATCTGAAATTTATCTGGAATCTGAAACACTTCAGCCCCAAGCTTTTTGTGTTCGGGACCTGAGCCTGCCAGGCTTGGAGTCTTGATCATTCCTGCCCAGGCCTCTCAGTGCCATCCCAGGTGGCTTAGCTGGTAATGAAACAGGTTGAGGTTCCATGCCCAAAATCCCAGTTGGCTTTGCATCCCAGCCAGCTGTGAGGCAGGGAGGTCCCAGCTGGAAGGGACAGTTGGGACTGGAGCCTGTCTCCACGCTGAGATGACCCTGGGCCCTAGGTGACGCCCCTGCGCTTTGGGAAGGATGTGGACGGGAAATGCCACAGCCTCACCGCCTCCTATGTGCGCGCACAGTACCAGCAGGATGCCAGCATGCCCCACTGCCGCTTCTATGAGGTACCTTGGGGCCTGGGTCGGGCGGGGAGTCCAGGCACGTGAGGCAGTCAGTCTTCCTGACCCCTGCCACCCTCTGACCTTATCCAGGAGTTTGATGCCCATGGGCGCCAGGTGCCCCTCCCTGCTGGCATCTATAATCTTGATGACCTAAAGGCCCTGGGGCAGCGTCATGGTTGGTGCCCATACTTCCTGGCCCGCTACTCGGTAAGGGGCTTGGCCTTTTTGTTTCTTGCCTATCTGTGCCTGTCTTTCCTTATGTTATTTGTATGGCAGTGGAGAATGGCAGGACCCAGGTGGCACTAACAGATGGGCCAGGCAACCTGCCCTCCTGCCCCCCAGATCCTGCATGCCAACGTGGTGGTGTACAGCTACCACTACCTCCTGGACCCGAAGATCGCTGACCTGGTGTCCAAGGAGCTGGCCCGCAAGGCTGTCGTGGTCTTTGATGAAGCTCACAATATTGGTGAGGAAGGAGCCAGGGCTTGGGTGACATAGCCCTGGATTCTGCCACCCACCTGCCTGAGCCCAGCCTACCCCTTCCCCAGACAACGTCTGCATTGACTCCATGAGTGTCAACCTTACCCGCCGCACGCTTGACCGATGCCAGGCCAACCTGGACACCCTGCAGAAGACAGTGCTCAGGTATGATGGGGGACACCTGGGGTTCTGCTGCCTGCTCCCTGTGTGGCTGCCTGGGATGCCCGCCTGTCCCAGCCCCACCTGTGTTCCTACAGGATCAAGGAGACAGATGAGCAGCAGCTGCGGGATGAGTACCGGCGTCTGGTAGAGGGGCTACGGGAGGCCAGTGCGGCCCGGGAGACAGATGCCCACCTGGCCAACCCTGTGCTGCCCGACGAGGTGCTGCAGGGTAAGCACTGACCCCCTCCCCACCCCCAGCCCAGCACTACCTGCTCCTGGTCACCCCCGCCTGCTGACCCCATCTTCCCGTAGAGGCCGTCCCTGGCTCCATCCGCACAGCTGAGCACTTCCTGGGCTTCCTACGACGGCTGCTGGAGTTCGTCAAGTGGCGGCTGCGTGTGCAGCATGTGGTGCAGGAGAGCCCCCCTGCCTTCCTCAGCAGCCTGGCCCAGCGTGTGTGCATTCAGCGCAAGCCCCTCAGGTGTGGTGGCCCACATTGGGAGAAGACGCTGACCCTGGTCGGGCTTCCTAGACAGGCCATGCGTGAGGCTGGAGCTGGCCCTGGGTTGCTGTGATGGGCGGGGCTGGCAGGTAGCACAGCTGCGTCAGTGCATTTGCCAGAAGAGAGTTTAGCAGAGGTACCATATCTGTGGGGGATGGGGTGTAGGGGACATGGGGGACCGATGAGAGGCGCCAGCGGGGCAAGAGGCCCTGGTACTTGAAAGACTGTAAACCCTGCCCAGGTCATGGGAGAGGCAGCACCATAGGCCTTTCTTTGGTGTTGGGGATGGAAGCCAGGGCCTTGTGTGTGTGCTAGTCCAGCATTTCACCACCAGCTCCAGCTCTTGCTGGGTGGGGCGAGAGTCCGCCAAACTGGAGGAGAGAGGCTCCTGATGGAAGTCTCAAGCAGAGCCCTCAGGCCTGGCAGGACCAAGGCTGGAGGCAGTGCTGCCCACCCCCCAGCACTCCCCTCCCCTCCCCCACAAGCTGGGCGCCGGGCCAGTGTAGGAGGACAGTGTCTGTACCTGTGGTTTGCTGCTTCAGGGATTTTGGTCTCCCTTCCGTTTCCTTCTTTGTACAAGGCTAGGGAGTCACCCTCACCCCACAGCTTCCCAGGGTGGCTGGGAGAAGGCAGCAAGGCAGGTAACTCCTGCCCTGTCATCCCACCTCGGGCATCCCCAGTGTGGTGATCTGGGCTGTTGATGAGGGCCCTGGCTCTGAGCGGGCCATTCCTTGTCCCATAGTCCCGGCAGGGTGCTCAGGACTGAACCCGGCCCTACAGAGCTGGCCTCTGAGCCCTCATGCTTGGTCCCTGGGTTGAACGACCTGGCTTTGCCTGTCCCGGCCCCAATAGGGGACTTGTGAGTGTGGAGAGCACGTGAGTCACTCACAACACATGCCCCAGCACCTGCAGTGTTCCGGGGACACAGCAGTGGCCTGGACTGGCAGCACTGCCTGCATGTGGTTCACAGTCCAGTAGGGGAGACCAAGGGTTCCTGAGAGCCTGGGGACAGAGGACAGACTCCTGTGTGAGGCTGTGTATGATTGTGTCCCTCTCTGAGCATGGAGCATGGAGGCTCTGGGTGTGAGTGTGTGGCCCTGAAGCCATGCAGGATTAGTGTGACCTTGGGGTTCTGGGGGTAGCAGTGGGTCTTATTTTGGTGACAAACTGTATACTTGTGACAAGTAACCATGTGACGCGGGTGTAGAGTCACTGTTCTGTATGTGCTGCCATACATTGGGGTTCTGTGGTATGCAGTTGTGCAATGTGAGAACACAGAAGTTTCTGGAACAGACCCGTCTCTGGTCTCATAGAGCCCCTCTGTTTCGAAGTAGGGGGATGTGGCCATGTGCTCTGAGGATGAGGGTCCCTCCCCATCCTGCTCCCTTTCCACTCTATGCCTCACCTCACTTCCCCTTCCCCCAGATTCTGTGCTGAGCGCCTCCGCTCCCTCCTGCACACCTTGGAGATTGCTGACCTCGCCGACTTCTCACCGCTCACCCTCCTTGCTAACTTTGCCACCCTTGTCAGCACCTACGCCAAGGGTGAGTGTGCAGGCTCCTGCCTCTGCTGGCCCCTGGCAGTGGGAACTGGGGGCCCAGCCGTGTCCAGAGTGTTGACAGTAGGGACTGGGACATGTGGACTGCAGGACTAGGCTTGGGATTTGGCCCTATTCAGTGTTCTCGAGGTAGTGACCCTCGAGCTCAGATTTGGCCACAGTGTGAAGTGCGAGGTGGGCCTGGTGTGAGACAGGGTGCTGCGGACTGGACTCACACTGCGCCGAGGGCACTGGGGAGCCATGGCAGGCTCCAAGTAAAGGAGGTTCCGGGTGAGGTTTGCACATGAGGGGGATTCTTCTGGGGCTGGGGAGATGGCTCAGTAGAATAAGCACTTGCCTGGCAAGCGCAAGGGTCTGAATTTAATCCCCGGTTCCACCAAAAAAAAAAAAAAAAGAAGAAGAAGAAGAAGAAGGATTCTTCTTGCAGGGACTGGAGGCAGCAGTGAGGCAGAGGCAGGGACCGGAGCAGGGTTGGGAGAACTGTGGGCACAGAGGAAGGGTTTGGAAAAGTGGGATGAAGAGACCCAGGGTGAGGAGCAGAGGGTGACGCTGACTCACATTTCTGGCCTGCGTGAGGGGAGGCTGTGGTCAGGGCCCCATCCCCTCAGCCTTAAGCTGACCAAGCTCAGGCTGATCCCTGCGGATTACTGGTCTACCCAGGAAACCAGGTCAGGTCTGGCCGCCTGCAGCTGGCTTCATGGTGGTGGGAGGACAGAGGTTTGTCACATGGTGTGCTTCAGGTGCACGCTCACGCACACACACTCGCACCGGGGCCATCACATCGAGCCTTTCTGCTGCCACCCTGTGTCTGCCCCCCTTCCGTCAGCCCTCAGCAGCTCACGTTTTACACGCCTCCCACCTCACCATCCCAGCCATGTCCCCATCGTCCTCCCTTCTCAGCTTAGCAGATGCCTCCCCCCTGACCCACAAGGCCCCTCTGTCCATCGCTGCCTGTGAGAACCCTCGCTCGGTGGGTACGGACATCCTCCCACCCCTGCCGCCAGCCCATCAACACTGGGTCTTCAGACCAAGCCCTGGGCAGAGGACTTGATTTTATTACTAAGTGCAACTGAATATTTAGCAGGCACACCAGGCCTAGCACTGCAAAAATATCCCCCCAACCCAAAACCTCCCTTGTAGCCCTAAGTTCCAATTAAGTTCTAGACAAGAAAACCAACAACAAAGACTCAACAAATAAATAAGGGTATATGTCCCAGAAAATGTTGCTTGCAGCTCGCAGGCTGGCCAAGGCTCTTGGGAAGAGGCCTTTTGAGTGAACAGGCTGCCCTGGGTCACTCCTCACACATGCGCAGGGTTGGGAGTGAGAAAGGCCGGGGGGAGGGTGGGACCTAAGGGGGTCTCCACAGGGCTTCTGTGGCTGCTGCACAGGAGCAGAGCTAGTTGGGGCAGGGGAGTTGTGGGCTTCAGGTGGGTTTGCAAGCAGGGCCACAAGGCTCCTTGTTCTGGCGGGGGGTCTCCCAGGGTCCTCTTGGTGCCCCCTTGGTGCTGGCAAACTCGGGAGCTGAGAGAGCACTAGGCTCTGCCCATGCACTTGTGGCAGAGGTGGGTGCCACAGGGCAGCCTGGACGGGCCTGGATGTGTTTAGGATGCAGGGCTGGATTTGAGGCTGGAGCAGTAGGACCAGTCCCTCGTATTCACTGGGACAGGGTCTAGGTGTGGTTGTGACCACTCTGAGGCCCTTACCTGCCCTTGCCTGCCCTGTAGGGTTCACCATCATCATTGAACCCTTCGATGACAGGACCCCAACCATTGCCAACCCCGTCCTACACTTCAGGTGGGTCACTGGCCCGAGCGGGCGGGAGTGGGTCCAGGGATATCCTGGCCTCCTGGCTTGGCCCTCGGTGATGTGTGTGCTCCTGCAGCTGCATGGATGCCTCCCTGGCCATCAAACCTGTGTTCGGGCGCTTCCAGTCTGTCATCATAACCTCTGGGGTGAGGACCCTTCCTCTTCTCCTTCTAGTCCCCAGCCCTTCACCATGGTGGACCTGATCCCTTGCCCAGTGCTACTGAGAACCCTCCTGCTGTCTCCACTCTAGACACTGTCCCCGTTGGACATCTACCCCAAGATCCTGGACTTCCACCCCGTCACCATGGCAACCTTCACCATGACGCTGGCTCGGGTCTGTCTCTGCCCCATGGTGAGTGGGAGCTTGGGTGAGGGGCTGCCTTCCGCTGCTTGCCTTTTGTAGATGGGAGACTCCCCGGCCTCAGGCAGCTGTCTGTGAGGTGGGAATGTCACCTGGTCTCTGGGGCCCGGGAGAAGATTTAGAGATAAATATGGAAAACACATTGTCCAGGCCTGGCAAAGAGAAGCCCAGTGAGCAGAGCAGTGGGTACTACCCCAGCCGGTCTGGGCAGCCTCTTCTGGTCACAGTCGTCTTCTATTTCTTTTTCTTTTTCATTTTTTTGTGGTATAAGGGATCAAACTCGGGACCTTGCATGGCCAGGTAGGTGCTTAAGCCACTGAGCTATATCCCTGGCCCCAGTCCTCTTCTATTTCAAAGGGTTTTTGTTGTTTTGGTTTTTGTATTTTTGAGAGATAATCTATGTAGTTCAGCCTAATCTTGGACTCCCTGTGTAGCCCAGGCTGGCCTTGAGAAAGTGATTCTCCTGTCTCAGCCTCCTGAGTGCTGGGATTGTAGGCATGCACCACAATGCCTGGCTGTGTTTCAAAGGGCTTTAAAGGGGACTAGGGGTATTCTAGCACTTTGGAAGGGTCCCAGGGTGAGGAGTCAGGCCACTACACACTTAGGGCAGGTTTTGCTGCTGACTCTGTGCCAAGTTTTGTTTTGTTTCTTTTTGTGGGTACTGGAAATCAAACTCAGAACCTTGAGCTTGCCAGGCTGGTGCTGCACTGAGCTAAATCCCCAGTTTCCTTTGTGCCAAGCTTAGAAAAGTTTTCTGAGCTCCTACTTTTGAAATTGCCCACCTGGACCTGTGGACTGGCAATGACTGCTCACCACAGCATCGTGGTGAGGGTGGCCAGTGGTGACATGGAGGTAGTGACAGTGTGTTCAGGAACCGTCTGGTGTTGAGACTGGGCTGGCTGAAGTGTGCCAAGGGGTGAGGAGTAGGTCCAGATTCAGATTCAATTCTCTCTGGTGTTGAGTTACTGTGTGAGGCTAGGTGGGTAATCCACCTACTCTGTGCCCAGGTCATTTGTCTGTGTGATGCAGGTAAAGGAGGCTGAGTGTTCATTAGTGACACTGAAGCTTTGAGTGGCAGTAGCAGGCCAGCAGCACTCAGTCCGCTGTCCCACTCATCATGACCTTCTGCTCACTCCAGATCATTGGCCGGGGGAATGACCAGGTTGCCATCAGCTCCAAATTTGAGACCCGGGAAGATATTGGTATGAAGTCCAGGGTGCCAGCTGAGGGTCCTGAGAGGAGAGGTGTCATCGGCAAGGTCATGCTGTCGCAGACACACCCAAATCCTCACCTAAGAGTTCCTCCTTGTTCTGGGTGCCTTGGGTGGTTGGGGATCAGGGAGGAGCCCTGTGACCATGGCGGATCATGGCCTGGCTATTAAGGGTGCTTACCCCCAAGTGACAAAGCCACTTCTGCACTCAGGTCACTGGCTATGACAAGTCATATGGCCACTGCTAATGCAGGGACCTGCGACAGCCCTTGATGGCTGGAGAGAGGTGGGATATGTGGGAGCTACCCTCCACATATCCTCAGTGGAGCAGCCAGGAGCCCTAAGTTCAAGTCAGGAAGTGGGAGGAGCCCCGGGCAGGAGAGGACCTGACCCTTGGCCCCTACAGCGGTGATCCGGAACTATGGGAACCTCCTGCTAGAGATGTCAGCCGTGGTCCCGGACGGCATCGTGGCCTTCTTCACCAGCTACCAGTACATGGAGAGCACCGTGGCCTCCTGGTACGAGCAGGTATGCAGCTCTCCTCCACTCCTGGTGCCGTTCATGCTTCTTGTCTGTTCCGTGGGGGGTGCATGTGTTGTGACAGGACGGCATCTAGGACCTCTCCCCTCCCAGCCCAAACACTGGCTTTTTCTGCACAGTGAGAAACAGGCCCCTCATGGTCACCTGGGTCCAAGGACCATTTGTGTTCCACTGAAGACCCTGAGAGTGTCCTCCTGGGTGTCTGAGGTCTTTGCTGTCCCATCTGTGTGTGTGTGGTCCCTGGAGCTCAGTGTGAGGCGGGGTCAGGTCTGTTCTTTCCCATTTGAAAACGTACTTACTTCTGTGCTGTGTATCGAGAGGGCCTGCCCCGCTGAACTGCACGGAGGGCTCCGGGCTGCCCCAGCCTTCCCGGTGTCTGTCTCCTGCTGCTGCAGGGCTGGACTCAGCAGCCTCTCCTAGGCTCTGTGGGGCATGGTCAGCCATAACCCCAGCTCTTGTTCATCCTGGGCCTTGTGCCAGCCCTACTGGCCTGGTACCTGGACCACTGTTCCTCTGTCCCTGCCTCGGGAGGGCAGGCTGATGCCGAGAAGCAATCTGCACACAGAATGGGTGGCAAGGTGGGCCTGGCCCAAAGGCCCTCAGCCCAGTTCCTGCCCCTTCCCCAGGGCATCCTCGAAAACATCCAGAGGAACAAGCTGCTGTTCATCGAGACCCAAGATGGGGCTGAGACCAGTGTCGCCCTGGAGAAGTACCAAGAGGTGGGTCTGGGGCCTAGGGTGGGAGAAGCCAAGGCTGTGTGGAGCAGACAGCAGTGACATGGCCCGCACCTCTGTCCCAAACCCCAGGCCTGCGAGAATGGCCGTGGGGCCATCCTGCTGTCTGTGGCCCGTGGCAAGGTATCTGAGGGAATTGACTTTGGTGAGTAGGTCTGGCCTCCCCTCTGGGGTCCCACAGCACAGTACCCAGGGCCACGCTGGCCCCTAACCCTGGCTCTCTGCTGCAGTGCACCACTATGGACGGGCTGTCATCATGTTTGGCGTCCCCTATGTCTACACCCAGAGCCGCATTCTTAAGGTTCGTGTTGGGCCAGCTGTGGCCACACACCGGGATGTGAGGGCGGCACAGGAGAGGACAATTTCTTGTCAGTCCTTGCTCTTGGCTTGCAGGCACGCCTGGAGTACCTGCGGGACCAGTTCCAGATCCGAGAGAATGATTTCCTCACCTTTGATGCCATGCGCCACGCGGCCCAGTGTGTGGGTCGGGCCATCCGGGGCAAGACAGACTACGGCCTCATGGTCTTTGCTGACAAGGTAGGGACTTGCCCCGCCCTCACCTCCGAGCCATCTTCCCAGGTCTGAAAAGGCTCAAAGGGCAGGGGCAGCTAGGCTCCTAGCCCACAATCATACATCCTCTCTCCTGCTCCAAGCGCTTTGCCCGGGCAGACAAGCGGGGGAAGCTGCCACGCTGGATCCAGGAGCACCTCACAGACGCCAACCTCAATCTCACAGTGGACGAGGGGGTCCAGGTGGCCAAGTACTTCCTGAGGCAGATGGCACAGCCCTTTCACCGGGTGAGCCCCCTTGTCACAGCCCTGTGCTCCCAGAGTGGGGGATGCACGGAGCTGGGGAGAGGTGGCTGCAGCCCTCCCACGGCCTGTCTTCTGCTATGGGGATGGACACCCTGGACTTTAAGGGCATTCCCAAATTCCCACCTCCTGGGCCTCAGGTCTTAGACCCTGCATCCCCAATGGGTACAGCGGAGCCATTTTCTGAGTCCTGTTATGACACCTCATTCCCTCTGTCCTCTCAGGAGGACCAGCTGGGCCTGTCCCTACTCAGCCTGGAGCAGCTAGAGTCAGAGGAGACGCTGCGGAGGATAGAGCAGATCGCTCAGCAGCTGTGAGCGCAGACGTGGCATGAAGGCATCCAGGTGACTCCTGAATCTTTTTTCCCCTCTCTGGGTTTTTTGAATCAGGATCTCATTATGTAGTCCAACTGACCTTGAACTCACTTGTGGTCCAGGCTGGCCTCAGACTGGCTGATCCTCCTTCCTCAGCCTCCCGAGTGTTGGGAGTACAGGTGTGCCCAGCATGCCTGGCCTTTTAATTTTTTTTTGTCTCCCAGGCCTTGCCTGGCTCAGAGTTCCCTAACTGGGGCTTGGCAGTCCGGGCAGAAATCCTCAGGCGGACATTCCTCATTGCCACATCTATAGAATTTAATCACGGAAGAGAGGGCAGGTGGGAAGCCCATTCTAGTGGCCCAAGCAGGGTGTCAGTGTGTACAAGATGGATGTCACCCACCCTGCCTTGCCTCTTCCTAAGAGGCCACAGTGACTTGGTCCCATCCACTTTAGCGGGGGCTCAGGTCTTGGGTGCTGACGCTGAAGGTCCGAGAGGCCTCGCCCAGGGGCCGGCTGGGGAGCTGGGGACAAGCACAAAGGTGAGCAAGGAGCAGCCAGAGGTCTACTGTCACTGTGCCTGTCCCACCCCTGCCTGGCCAGGTCCCTCTCACCTGAGTCCCTGCGGCCCTCTGCCCATCCATGTTCAGCATGTTGAGTGACATGGCTCTCTTCATCCTGCAGCGCAGGGGTCAGAAGGATACATGAGCCCCAGGAATGTCAGGGCCCACTTGGGGAAGTGCCGCTGCCGAGGGAGCCGAGCCCAGGAGGTTCCTGAACAGGACATGCCGACTTCGCGCCCGTGTCAGGGCTCTCTGAGGACCTTGTGCAGCACTCACCCAGCTGCCCCTGCCACGCCCTCACTGCGGAGCCGGGAGACCAGCTTCTCACTCCCACGCCGGATGGACTCCCGCAGCTTGGAGAAGGAGCTGCTCCGAGGAAGGGCCTGCCGGGGTGTTGGGGGCTGTGGTTGGTGCCCCCACCCAGACCGATCAGTGCCACCCCAGGAGCCCAAGCTGAGCTCTTCCTCACCTGCTGTTTTGCATCACCAGCTGTGCCAGTGCTGGGAGGTCCTGGGGGGACAGATAAGGATGTGAGGTGGGGATATGGTCCTGGAGCCCTTGGGAAGCAGCAGGGAGGGTGCAGCTCACCGAGTGGGGCACACAGGTCTTCTGGGCGGAGAATCTCCTTGTACAGTTCCTCTGCCTGCTGGTACTTGTTCTGCTTCAGGTAGGCAGAGGCCTGCGGAAGACAGGGCGCGGTCTGGTGGGGCTGGGGCATCTCAGGATCCCGCCCAGCCATTCCTTCTCCTTCAGCCCAGCCAGGTCTCTGTGCTCGCTCAGATGGAAGCTGGGCTCCCCAATCCCCCATGGCAGATGGTCAGCCAGAAGCAGGCTGGACCCTGGTGGCCTCAGTGCCACTTGGGTACCAGGGCAGGTGGCTTCCTGTCCCTGCCTTCCCTTGGCTAGTCACACACCTCTGTGCCTCAGTCTCCTCCTGTGCTAACTGGTGGTGACCATAGCTCCTACCTCAGCAGGCAAAGTGCTAAGAGGAGCTGCCTTTGGTGAGCTAATAAAGAGCTGGGGCCGCACTGTCCCAGCCACCTCGCTAGCTGCCTCTGTGCCTGACCTGCTCTGTACCTGGTGTTGTGGTCCTCAGTGCCTGGGGCTAGTACAGCTCCCAGGTGACTCGCCCTCCAGTGCCTGTCCTGTACCACTGGACACCCAGGGGGCAGGAACCATCAGCCACTCACACCCTGTGGCCCTCACCAGGTTGTTTTTGGTCTTGGCCACGTTGGGGTCATGGGGTCCCCCCACAGCCTCATAGATGCTCAGGGCTCGCGCAAAGTACCGTTCCACGTCCTCAAACTTGCCCTGGTTCTGGCAGAGCAGGGCCAGGTTGTTCAGCTGCTTGGCCACATCCGGGTGGTCGGTGCCCAGGACCTGGGAACAGAGTCAAGGAATCACTGGGGGGCCGGGGAGATGGCTCAGTAGAATAAGCGCTTGCCTGGCAAGCAAAAGCGCAAGGGCCTGAGTTCAATCCCCAGTTCTGCCAAAAAAAATTAAAAATCACTGGGGCACAGGATGTTGCTGCCATGATGGGGATCATGAGTTCGGGACTGGTGCATCAAGGTGGAGAGTAACATGCATGTTGGGGGTTACAGAGACCAGAGGTCACAAGGTCCGGAAACTGTAGAGGTACCAGGTCAAATGGAGGACAGGTCAGGTTGGGAGTTGTAAGGGTCACATGGGAGTGGAAAAGTAGATCCAGGCTGAGGCATTTGAGATGGGGAGTGGTCAGGTTGCGATCAAGACAAACTTAGCTCAAGGGTGATGGGTCATGGGATTGGGGGCCTATAACCAGAGGTACCATGGGACTGAGGTTAGCAGGGGGCTCAGGACAAAGGCAAGGGTTAGGCCACACAGGACAGGGTCTGCAGGGTGGGAGGGTTGCACCTTCTCCCGGATCTCCAGGGCGCGCTGGCACAGGGGCTCTGCCTCCCGGTACCGCCCACGCTTTCCATAGAGGACTGCCAGGTTGTTGAGGGTGGCAGCCACCTGTGGGCAAGGAGCCAGCACGAGTTAGAAGTGGGCAGGGGCAGTCTCTCTAACCCCCAGAACCCCACATACCGCAGGATGCTCGGGGCCCAGCGTTTGTTCCCGGATCTGCAGGGCATCATGGAGAAGATCCGTGGCTTCCTTGTACTTGTTCTGGTCCCTGTAGGGCCACAGTTGGAGGGGGTTGGCCAGGCTGGGGCCACAGGCTGAGAAGGGCATGGTTGGCCACTTCAGGTGCCCAGCTTTGGGCTGTTTCCTGAGACTTGGCCAAGCTTCTGTCAGGACCCCCACTTTGGTCCCCACACTCTGGTTTGTATTTTGAGGACCAGGGAGATGGCTCAGTAGAATAAGCACTTGCCTGGCAAGCGCAAGGGCCTGAGTTCAATCCCCGGTTCTGCCAAAAAAAAAACCATGGTGACTATTTTGCAGTTCTGGGATTGAGCTCAGGTCCCTTGCAGCAAACTGCATCCCAGCTACTATTTATATGAGACAGGGTCTCACTAAGTCATACAAATTGGACTGGAACTTGAGTTCCTGCCGCAGCCTGCAGTCACACCATGCCTGGCTCTGAGACCTTCACCTGAGGCTCAGCCACATCCCTGGATCTCCAGCCCTCCCCGTTTTCCTGTCACCATTCCACCCCTCACCCCACCACCACCTCAGGTGCTTTATAACTCCAGAGGGGACTCCAGGGTCCTCCTACTGCCACCCATGTGGGTCCCTGTCCTTGGACAGCCGGTTGAAGTCCTCACCGGTATACGAGGGCCAGAATGTTGAGCATGGTGGCCACATCAGGGTGGCAGTGGCCCGAGCTGCGCTCCAGGTCTTCCAAGGCCTGGCGGCACAGAGGCACAGCAACCTCGTAGCGGCTCTGGGCCGCGTACTGAATCACAAGGTTGTGCAGGGTCCGCAGGCGAGCGGGGATCTCGTAGCCACCTTGTTGTGCCGCTGCCACCCCTGCTGCCTCGGGACCTAGGGGAGGTAGTACTGAGTCACTGCAGGCCTCTGTCCACTACAGCAGCTTTGCTGGGACTGTGGGCCCTGAATTGGCTTTATCTGTTTTCTAGCCCTTGAATCCAGGCGCTCGACACTGAGCTACTTCCCCAGTACCTGCTCCCCTTGTTTTAAAAATAATCTTTTTGATGAGGTCAAGCCCCAGTTCCACAAAAAATAAATAAATAAAATAAAAATATTCTGAGACAGGGTCTTGCTATGTACTCCAGGCTCATCTTGAGCTCACTTTGTAGCCCAGGCTGGTCTCAGTGATCCGCCTGTCTCAGCCGCCTTCGTGCTGGGGCTATAGTTCACCACCACACCCGGCTCTTGCTCTGACTTCCGAGATGGGAATGAATCACAGGCATGTAGCTGGCTGGTGGGATGTGTCCTAGCAGGGGACAGAAACACCTGGCCATCTGCCCAGTGGGATGTGAATTGGGAGCCCCCAGCTCACAGGGTCGAGGTCACTGGCCCACTTGCCTCGCAGGCCTCCAGCCTCCCTGCCTGCTCTCAACCCCATCACCACTGGCCACCTGCTTGGTCCTCCTAACCTCCTCCCATTCCAGGCTCAGAGATGCTGAGGACAGCCTTGGCCTGCTGTCCTACATGGCCTGCACACCCACCTTTCCTCTCTTCCTCCTCGCTGGGGAACAGGGAGGCCAGGCTGTCTCTTCGAGGGGGCGACTCTGGCTGCTGTAAGAGGACAGGAGTGGGACATCGTGAGCCTGGGGCTCGTCTCAGAGATGGGGTCCCAATCAGCCCCAGAGCTTGGAGGAGCTGTTGATCTGGAGACTCTAGTCTCCTGGAGGCTTGGGGTTTCTTTGGAGCTCTGATAGGCCAGGCTATTTGGCCTCAGTGGATGAGGATCTGGGGGCTCTGTATAGGAACAGTGGGGTGTAAGGATCCGAGGGGCTCTGGCACGGCTCCAGCACCTGGCTCTCCTCAGGTGGGTCATATTGCCGCAGCTGCCCCAGGAACTGGAGGTGGCTCTTCTCCTCCTCAAGCTGGGCCACGGCTGCCTCACTGGCCCACAGCCGCTGCCGCGTCTCCTGCAGCTCCTCGCGCAGCCATGCGTTCTCCTGTGCCAGCCTCCGGGCCTGGGCCCGAAGTCGCTGCTTCTCAGCCTCCAGCGAGCCCACGTGTGCCGACAGGGCCAGCAGTACCTTGTGGGTAGGGAGCCACCAGTTCTTTTTTTTTTTTGTGGAACCAGGGATTGAACTCAGGCCCTTGCGCTTGCCAGAGAAGCACATATTCCATCCACTGAGCCATCTCCCCGGCCCCAACCAGTTCTGATCTGGCTAGTCAGCCCTGGCCTAGCCCAGGCTCCCCCATCAGGTCAGTGTACCCCAGTCTATTTAGGATCCCCAGATTCTGCCCATGTGGCCCCAGGGATGCCTAGGCACTCCCTAAGCCCCTCGGGTTTCATTGCTTATTCTACCCATGAGCCCCCAGGGTTGCTCCAGGATTCCCAATTCTATAAGAGGAACCCATTTGGTTTGGGGGTGCCTAGGACACATAAAAGCACCCTCTTGCCAGGCATAGTGGAGCACACCTATAATCCCAGCATTTAGGAGGCTAAGACAGGAGGATCACTGTGAGTCGGAGACCAGCCTGGGCTACAAAGTGAGCTGAAGGCCAGCCTGAACTACATAGTGAGGCCCTGTCTCAAAAAGACACACACTAAAAAACTACCCTCTGCTGGGGATCATGGTAAATACCCATAATCTCAGCACTCTGGGAGGCTCAGGCAGGAGGATTGCCAGTTCAAGGCCTATGTGGGCAACTTGGTGAAACCCTTTCTCAAAAAATACAAAAAGGATGTAGTTAGCAACAGAGCACTGTTGGGTTCAGTCCTCAGTACCACAAACACCAAACACCCTGGAATGCTGCCTGGAGACCCCATCTCTGGCCTGGAGCCTCATTCTTGGCCTGGTTCCCCAGACCTCCTCCTACCCAGACTTGCTGCCCTCTCTCTTCCCAGGGTCCAACCTCCCTGCCCAGGCCCGAGTCCGTCCCGTCCCCCCCCCCTCCCCCGTGCTCATACCTGGGCCTCACCCAGCCCGAGCTCGATGGCTTCCAGCGAGTGCCTCACCACCTGCTGCTTCTCTTCCAGCAGCTCCAAGCCGGCTACTGGGCCCTGTCCGGCCAGCGCCTCACCTAGGCGCCCGGCCAGGCTGTGGTGTTCTGCCCGCAGCGTCTCCAGCCCCTGCACCACCTGCCGCGTCTGCCGCACCAGCTCCTCTGGATTCAGGCGCTCGGGGCCCAGCCCCGCACCCCCCGGGACTGCCACCTGCACCGACATGGCTACTTCTAGGGGAGGGGGACACAAGGATGGAGGAGTCATTACGGGGCTAGATGAGCCATCCCCAGCCGCGGACCCCCAACTGTCCCTCTTCCAGCTTCCCACCTGTCACCCGTCTAGGAGGCACCACCGCGCCCTGTCCAGCCCTGCCTGCCTGGCTCCACACCTGGCCCCACACCTGGCCCCACCAGCGCTCATCCGGGAACGTCCCAGTCTACCTGAGTTTGTCCTGGGAGCCCACGGACCCGCTCTGACCACAACTCCAAAATCCTACTATGTGGGGTTAACCAAGAGGGCAAGCAGCTGGCTCGATGTGTCCCCCACCAGCCTCTGCTCGCCCGTGCCGCTCCTCCCCACCCCCAGGTCCCGAGAGGCCCCCGGCCCAGAGCTCCGGCAGGAGGGCGGACCGCGCTTCCTCCGCGGGGCTGGGCGCTGGGCGTGCGGGGCGGGGCGAGCGGAGGCGGCCGCCTCCCTCCCCAGAGCTCATTCCGAGGGTGCCTTTGTTGGGAACCAGTCTGGCCACTGGGGGCGGGTGGGGCCGAGGAGAGGGCCAGGGGCTGGGCACCGGAAGCCAGGAGAGCCTCCAGGCTGGGGGACAGGAGGATGCCCCCGTGCTGTGGGCCTAACAGACCTCTGGGCACAGGGGCTCCACCCTCCATCAGAGGCTGCTCTGCCAGCCCAGGGCCTGTTGGGACACACGTGTGGCAGGCGTGGCCCACGGATGTCACAGTTGAAGGCCTGGAGCCTGCTATTGGGGGATGGTCCTGCAGGTAGAGTTTTGTGTGGGCAATCAGGTCAGATGCGTAGCTGTTGTGCCTCTGAGGTCCTCAGTGGCACCCACACTTCTCAGAGACACATGTGCACCCCCTCTTAATGCCATAACAGAACACATAGCGCTCACAGAAATACAACTCACACACTTTATAAAGACAGCACAACATACACCTCTTATGCACATCCTTTGAGTCATTAGAAATTCAACATAATACACATTCATTCTGTCTTAGAAATACACCCATACTGTCTTCTCTTAAAAATACAGCTCTTAAGCCAGGTGTGGTGGTGGTGTACACCTATAATCCCAGCACTCAGGAGGCTGAGCCGGGAGGAACTCTGGGTGAGTTGGAGGCCAGCCTATGCTGCACAGCAAGTTCAAGGCCAGTCTGAAATATATAGCAAGACCCGATCTCAATACAGTACAGTACAGTAGAGTACAATACAATAACAACACAGTGCAACTCTCAGCCAGATGTGGTGGTGCACACCTGTAATCCCAGGACTTGGGAGGCTGAGGCAGAAGAATCACCATGAATTCAACACCAGCCCAGAGCACATAGTGAGTTCAAGGCCAACTTGCACTACATAATGAAAGCCTGTCTTAAACAAACAAACAAAAAAATGAACAAAAAGTACAGCTCCACATTAGGTATGTTGGCATTCGCCTATAATATCAGCTACTGGGAAGGCTGAGACAGGAAGTTTAAACCAAGCTCAGACAAATTATGGAGACCCTCCCCCCATTCTCAAAATATAAAATAAAAGGGCTGGAGATATAACTCCAGGGCACAGTAATTGCCTAGCATGTGCCATGCCCTCCCTGAATTCAATCCCTAGTACTTTACTTTCTCTTTCTCTCTTTCTCTCTCTCTCTCTCTCTCTCTCTCTCTCTCTCTCTCTCTCTCTCTCTCCTGAAATTCAAATTGAGGACCTTGGGCCAGCCAAATAGCTCAGCAGATTAAAGCACCTGCAAGCAGGTACAGGGGTTGGGGGTTTGATCCCCAGGCCTGCCATGCTGGCCCCACCCCTGGGGCATGCTGACCTGGCAATTCAGACTGGGCGTGGTGATGCACACCTGTAATCCCAGCTCTTGGGAGGCTGTAAACAGGCAGATCACTATGAGTCCGATCTAGTAGTGAGACCCTAAACACCCTATAGACCCTTCCCTAAAATACAAAAAAAAAAAAAAAAAAAAGAAAAAACAAATTCAGGACCCTGATCTTGCTAGGCAGGTGCTTATGCCGTTGAGCTATCTCCCCAGCCCTAGTAGTTCAAAACAACAGCTCAACATATACACTTACACACATGTTCCTTCCAGAAATACAACCCAATGCAACAGAGCAGTTCAAGCACATGCAGATAGTTTCCTGCCAGAAACAATACCCGAGAGAAAGGCTTGTACACTTTTCTCTTGGAAACAGCCTGCTGCACAGATACATTCTCCTCTCAGAAATAAGCCAGACAGGTGTGGTGGCACATTCTGTAATCCTAGAATTCAGGAAGCTGAGGCGGCAGGAGAGTCACTGCCAGTTCCAGGCCAGCCTGGGCCACACAGTGAGTTCATGTAGTGAGACCCTGTCTCAAACAAAGAAACAAACAGACAAACAAGAAGAAAGAAAAGCCAACACATAGGAACTGTGTCTTGGGGCTGGTGAGATGGCTCAGTGGTCTAAAGCACCTACTTAGAACAAGCTTAGCATAAGCACAGGGACCCCGGTTCAATCCCCCAGCACCACATGCCAGCCAGCCCCGCCCCCTGGTGGGCTGAGCTGGCCACACACACACACACACACACACACACACACACACACATAAATAAATAAAATTAAAAAAAAAAAAACTTAGAAACTGTCTTACCATCCCATATCTTTACCTCTCACTGCCTGCCCACACTCACAAGACCTCTGAAGCAGTCGAATCCTCCAAACACCCAGGATTTCCTGCGGAGGCCCCCAACTTCCTCTGACATCCATTTCGACCCAGGCCTGGCCAGCAGGGACCAGGGACACACACAACTACACTGTGCACACACAGATACGCAGGTACAGATGGGTGGAACTTGAACTCCCTTACACAGTCGGGGTGTGTGTGGGGTGTCCTCAGGTCCCCGCCCACCCCTCCTCAGGCAGCTTCATAGGAGCCGTGTCCACACCTGGACCCTGGGTGGCCACCATGGCTCCCTGTGCACAGCTACGAGGGTGTGCACGTGCCCCTCAAGCCCAGCGGAAACTCAAAATGCACCGCAGTCATTGTTTCCCCTTGTGATCCTGGGCTGGGTGGGAGCTGCGGTCATGGCCAGTGTCTGGCATCGGTAGAAATGACCGTGGCACATATTGGCGGCCTGGGAAAACGCCAAACTTCACCATTTGAGTACAGCTCCTAGTGAATACACATCACTCCCACACCGTCAAGCCAGAAGCCTAAGCGGAATCACTGAAAGGTGGTCCTATCTGCATCAGAAGCCCTTTCTGTAGAGGTGTGTCATGTATCGCACAAGCCACAGTCACCAAGAGCCACGCTGACAACTACACACCACACCACACACAAATGTCTGCCACAGTTTGACACCTGTCACCCACATAGAAAATCTCAGCCATGCATCACTCAGGTGTCCTCCCTCCCCTCTCCTTTGTGTGTGTGTGTGTGTGTGTGTGTGTGTGTGTGTGTGTGTGTTCTGAGACACAGCCTCACCAGAAAGCCCAGACAGGCCTTGTACTTGAGATTCTCTTGCCTCAGCTTCCTGAGTACCTGGATTACAGATGGGCACTACCACGGCGGGCTCCACCTCCCACACTGCTTCACACCAAGTCTCCACTGTACAGCTCCCAAAGCAGCTACCCTGACCTCACCGCCCCACTCCAGCTCGGCGCACGCAGTCTCACACACACACACCTCCGCACCTCACTCAGCCAGCTCATTTCCACACACACCCCATGGCTCAGCCCAGCTTCCAGACAGCCATGGGCGGCCCTTGTACCAGCGCAGTGATGTACAGCCAGAAAGTCAGCTGTCCGCACCCATCTCTGACCCTGGCAGTGCCACCTGACACCCCCAACCCAGCACCCTGCTGGCAGGAAGCCTGCAGCGCACGCTATACCTACCTAATCCTCAGGCAATGCTACCACTGCTCACCCACAGCGAGCAGCCACAGGCTCACATGAGCCCCAAGCACAACGCTGACCAGAGTCACACGATCTCTGTGTCATATACACGAAGTCCTATAAACAGTCCAACTCCCAGCACAGGTGCACACGCGCAGGAACACAAGCACTAGATGCGCAGTGGGAGGTCGCCCACAATTTTCCGTCCCTGTTCCTCCTCACAGCTCACACCTCTATCCAGCTCCCTCTCACACTTGCGATGTCACAGCCTGACACCCTGTCCTGCACACACACCGGAGTCTCCAATACCATCTTTCACACACTTGGCAGGTCCCCATCAGGTCCCCCTCAAACCAGGCAACCTCACCACAAGCAGCCGACAGCGCACCCCCCTGCCCCTCCTCCCAGCCTGGCAGCCACCCCCACTCCCCAGTACCTGTTTACCTGCGCTTGGGGAAGGACGCAGCCAGCCGCGCTCCAGACTCCGGAGTTCCCCAGAGTGGGGCGTGGGGCGTCCGGCGCCCCAAGGCCTGTTCCCGCCGCCCGCCTGGGGGGCGAACCCCGGGTGCCCCAACACCAGTCCGTGTCCCCCACCTGCGCCAGCGCCCGCGTCCGCGCCCCAAGGCCGGAGGCTTCCCAGAACCCCGCGCTCCTTCCACAGCGCCCACCTGGCCGCGGAGGGCTCTGAGCGGCTCGGCTGCGCGCCGAACCAGGTCCCGCTGGGCGTGCCACGCCCCGCTGCGCCGCGTCCCGGCCCTGGCGGCTCCTCCGGGGCGGGGCCGTGATAGCCACGCCCCGACAGGTGAGGCCTGCCACGCCCACCACCCTAGGGAAGCCCAGCCGGCCGCTGGATCCCCAGGGATTGCCGCACCTAGCATGGAAACCCCTCCCTGGAGCCTGCAATTGGAGCCGGAGGTCGAAAACTGCGGCGCTGCAATCTTAAAAACTTGGAATCCTGAAAACTTTGGATCCCAAACCGACGATCCTTTGTTTCGGCTGCATCCCTTCTCCACGGTTCCAGTCCTTTGTCACGTCCCTTCTCAAAGGTCCCCTTCTCCGCGAGGTCTTCCCAGATGGTCGATATATATTAATTAATTATCATTATTATTTTTCAGTATTGAAGGCTGAACCCAGGACCTGGGTTACATCGCCAGGTCTTTTTCTTTTTCTTTTCTTTTCTTTTTCAGACGGTCTCGCTATGCAGTTCAGGCTGGCCTTGAGCTCACTTTGTAGCCCAAGCTGGTCTCAAACTCGGAACGATCCTCTTACCTCAGCCTCCCCAGTGCTGGGATTACAGGCATACACCACCAGACCCAGCTATGTATATATATATATATTTGTATTGGGAATTGAACTCAGGACCTTGCACTTGCCAGGTAGGTGCTGTGCCACTGAGCTATAACCTCCTACCCAAGAATGAGAAGTTTGAACCCAGCCTGGGCAATTTAGCAACTTAGCAAGACCCATCTCAAAAAAATGGGAGGATCTTTGCAAGTTTGAGACCATCCTGGGCTACAAAATGTGCGCAAGGCCAGCCTGAACTGCATAGTGAGACCGGCTAAAAAATAAAATAAAATAAAAATTAAAAAGACAAAACGGCTCCCTGCTTCATTTTGTCCACCAAACTTTTCAAGCCCTGAAATACTTAATTTATCGTATTGCAATAGTATGCTGTATTGCATAACATACACGTATTACCTTATTGGTGAGAGAATGCAATGCCTAGGAAATTTACTGCTTGTACTGATTAGGCAACAGCTTATCTTTTCCATTCTCTCTCTCAGCTACTGCCTTATAATAATCATTGTTTGCCTTTTCTCCCCCACCAGAGTGTGTAGTTTGTGGGCTTCAGTGGTCGAGGTTCTGTGTTGTCAACTGTGTATCTTTAGCAGCAGAACAGAGCCTGGCGCAGTGTAGGTGCTCGGTGCATTTCTGGAATGACT